TCATTTTACATTTTTATCACAGACAGAAACCTGTGTAACGTCAAGCAGCCTCCAGCAGGTGGAGCTCTTTACTAAAGCCAGTGAGTGTGTGTGTGTGTGTGTGTGTGTGTGTGTGTGTGCTCTGTTACATGATCATCAGTGATGGACATTAATGTCATTTACCATCAGAAAACAAAACAACAATCGTTTAGTTTTATCAACATTTATAATCACAGTCAGTTTGTAAATGATTTATCGCCTCAGGTTGGGAACCACTGCAACAACACTTTAATATTTTTTCATGTTTTGCTTCTTCACATTTTTAACGTTATGAAAACAGATTTATATATTGATTTTTGATTATGTGATATTTATTTGTGCATTTGAATTTAAATCTGAACAGACGTCACATTTCTCTACAGGGACATTCAACGTGTGTGAAATGTGTCATACAAAAGTAAGAAATATATAATATGATATGATATGATATGATATGATATGATATGATATGATATAATATGATAATATAATAATATAATATAATATAATATGATATGATATGATATGATATGATATAATATAATATGATATGATATGACATAATATAATATAATATGATATGATATGATATGATACTGTATATAACAAACATTCAGAATTCAGTGGCTCTTATAAAACTTTCTGGAAACAAAGAGAAAATAAGGAAAGGAAGGAAGGAAGGGAAGGAAAGGAAGGAAAGGAAGGAGGTAAGGAGGAAAGGCAAGGAGTGAAGGAGGGAAGGACTGAAAGAAAGGAAGGAGTGAAGGAAGGGAGTGAAGGAAAGGAAGGAGTGAAGGAGGTAAGGAAGGAAGGAGGGAAGGAAAGGAGTGAAGGAGGTAAGGAAAGGAGCCACAGAGTGAGTGGAGAGAGGACGTCTGGTATCAGCTGTTAGTCTGTGACAGATACAGATGTTTTACCTGGATCACACCTGGAAACAGACTCATCACCTCCAGGTGAAAGTGAGCTGGAGGAGCAGCGTGAGACCGGACTCGGACTCGTGTGGACTGACTCGGGATCAGCCTGGAGAGAGGACCGGTGAGCGTCAGCTGATCTCTGGCTCTGCGTCAGGTATCGATCAGATTCCAGTGACTCGCTCTCGTTCCTGCCGGCGCCAGTTCCTACGTCAGCGCTCACCTCAGTGAGGTCACACAGGTTATCTCACCTGTCACTGTAGCACCTGTCTGTCTCTCCGCTATCAGCCTGTCTGTCTGTCCTACGGCACAGCTGGCAGTCGGACAACGTTTCATCAGTTACTGACGCGGGAAGAAAGTGGGTCGATGTGATTTAATGAACCTGGATCTCCTTTCCCTTTCCCTGATCACACACACACACACACACACACACACACACACACACACACACACACACACACACACACACACACACACACACACACACACAGCTGATAACCTCTGACGGTCTTGTCGTCCCCTCTGTACGTCTCTTCTTTGTTTTTTGCTTTTTCCATTTGACAGTGATGTCATCAGTGATGTCATCAGTGATGTCATCAGTGATAAGTTATAGATAAAATAATGACACCTGGTGTTTCAACATGTGTCTCTCAGTACGAGTTCACCATGAAGGGAAGAAGGAAGGAAGGAGACAGGGAAGGAAGGGAGGAAGGAATATATGAAATATATAATAAATATGAAAAGGTAAAAACAAATAAACTCCAGTAATTTCTACAGAGGATATAAACCTTTGACCTTTGACCCAGACGTTGTTGTAAAGGATATTTCCTTGATGTTGAATCGAGTCATTAGAACAGAACGTTACACTGATAACAGCTGTGATAGTTTATCAATCAGCTGATAAACAGCTGATAACCAGAGCACAGTCACACATCTGAAACTCTCCAACTAGAAACTATCATATATTCTTTTCACACTTTCATTGTAAATATTTTATTGTTAATTATTTTATTTTTCTATTTTAGCTTTCTGCAGCTTGTTTATGTTTATATTCCTTTTCTTCTTCTATGGTTATTGTCATGAACCAGAAACTGCTGATTTCACTGAGTCAGAGTTTCTCACTTTACAGACATGGACACGTTTGACTTCATCATCACACTGTGTTTCTGCTCCTTCTTGCTCACAGGTGATTTCCAGGTGAGCGCACAGGTGGACTGGACGGAGGTCCTGGTCGGCAGCTGGACCGTCCAAACGTAAAGAAAGACGTAAAGACTACAAACCTTTGTGGAATAAAGTCAGTGGAACATGTTTGAAAGCGTCGGTCGAGCTTCAGTGTTGAAACGTCTTTATAGATGAACAAATAACCTGCAGGTGAAAGAGTTAGTGAAGACACAGTGAAGGTGTGACTCTGGATTATGAGCTTTAGAGAACAGTTGCATTCAGGCGTCGCGTGGTCGTCAGTAAATCATTGTCTCTGAGAATCAGACAAACAACAGGAACGTATGAAGGTTCAGTCACAGAGAGAGAGACTAACACACTGTACAAGGTCGACACCACATGTAGAGGACACACACACTCTGTACGAACACCGTCCTCAGGACTCCACTTCCCATAATTCCTTCATCTGAACAAAGACTTCTTCTTCTACTAAGAAGTTAATCTTGTGTCCGTGAGATAGTGAGAACAAACTGAAATACAATGTGCTTCTTCTCTTCCTTTTTCCTGTGATCAAATCGTTTCATTTTCTATCAATCACTTTAATAAAATCAGAAATTAGAAATAAAATGTAAATGTTACTGAATTTGTTTTTGTTTGGAAGTAGGTTATTATCTCTAGAAACAATTATTATTATTTAACTGTCAGATCATTTCAACAGGTTTTATGATTATGTGACTGTAAAGAGGTTTGTTCTCTTGTTGCTGTAGAAACAACATCTGTCATTTAATCAATGTGAGAGATTTTTCTCTCATATTCTCTCATCTCCCATTTTGTAGCCAGAAAACAAACAACCAAAATCCTCTATAGAGAAGATGCCGCATTACAGGCAGCGCCAATGGTATGAAGTGGGACACAGCTCCGGTCTCCTAAGTGGGTGTTGTTCCTCAATCCCTCCCTCAAGCGAAGGCAACTGGCATGAAATGTGACAGTAGCTAATATTAAAATCTATCCTGTCTAGACTTTCCTCCCTGCATCCTTTGGGAAAGAAAAGACGGATCCGATTTTCTTGTTCTTACAGCCTGTTGCTGCACACAGCTCGGCATTTTAACACTAACTGATGGATTACCTGTCCCTGTCAAAACAATACATCAATAGACGATTCAACAGAACTCATTTTTTACCTACTAAGGACATCTGATCAGCCCAGTACAAAGTCATGTCAGTTTAATAGGCCAATAATCTTTTAGCAGCTGTACGGAGCCTTTGCTCTGCCTCACAGCTGTGGCCAGAACACGGTTCCAGCAGCAGCAGCAGCAGCAGTGCAGTCTGTGGTTTATCAACTCAGGACTTGGATAGTGTAAAAAACCAGTGTGTGATGATTAACTTCAATCCCCGTCTTTATCTTCATGTCTTACATAAGAGCTGCAGTGCACCTTGGGACAGAAGCATGTGGCCTCATGAAGCCTCAGTCTCAGGTCCTGTGGTTCAGGAGTTCAGACGTCCTCGCCTCATGTGAATTAATGTAAAAGAGAATTAGAGCGTGAGTGTGTGTCTGGGCCCTCAACACAGTTACAGGGAAGTTTGATCTGTTTTCAAATGTTTTTATATCAGAAATCAGATTTTTCTTTCACCTGAAAATCACATGGATGGTTCCTTACTATACATTTTGCAAATGTAATTAATGATCAATATTTTCATTGAATTTTGGGTGTTTTATTCAAATTTCTAGCATCTGTGGTTTTCACTCCACTACAGTGGGTCACAGTATGGAAACGGTTTCTAAATTCTGACATACACCTGTCTGTGATAATCCATCAACACGTTCTCCGGTTGTAACTTTAGTCAAAATAATTCAGAATTTAGTTTTTGTTTTACTGAAAAACAAGATATATTTCTGTAAATGAGGTTTACTGAAAATGAAATTCCAAAAGAAAGTGTAAAATCGGAGAACAAAAGTTTTACGGTCGAAGGGAAGACGATACAAACGTTAAGATGTTTCAGATATTCAGGAGTCTTCATGTCATAAACTGATAAAACGGGGACTAAATGTTTTTGGTGGCTTGTCCCTGGAAACGGGAACATCTGGTCACCCTGTTTTGTTTTATACGTTTTAGGAGTTATTAGGTTGGAGCTGTCCTCAGAACTGTTTTAAATTTGATAGTACAGTGAAATGAACACAGGAAAGTCAGGGAGAGAGAGCGAGGGGATGACATGCAGCAAATGGCCGAGGGTTCGGATTCAAACCCTCGGCCGCTGCGGTTAGGACTAAGTCCGTGCGCTTGTCTTGGCTGCTAGCTATAGCAGCTTCAGATATGAGGCTGAAACCATGAAAATAGAGTTGTCCAATCAGATTTTTCGTTTTTCTTTTTTTGTGGTTGTCTCTCGGCACAGAAAACGTCAGCTGGCTCACTCATTGGTTAGGAGTTCATAGCCAGGCAGTAAACTAGAAAAAATAAACACACTTCAAACAAACTTCACGACTGCTTCAAAGGTACGGAGTCGTCATTTTGTCAGTCGGCCTTCTCATAGTTTCTTACAATACAACAGTACTGTTGTGAAAATACATGACTGGCCTCTTTTTATCTCATAGGTAAAAACATTGGATATTTTAATGATGTATTGACTATTAACTGGAAACTAAACCGGTTTTCATTTGGTCACTTTATAATAAAAGCCTCATGACAGACCGTACTCATGTCTTTGGTTTTTGTCAAGCAGCAGTGTTAGACTGGTGAGTGTCTAAGGAATCAAATAACATCATCATGATCCCACAGGAATCCAGGAACTGAAACAAAGCAGGTAAACTAACTGTGACGTGCTGCTCCAGTCACATGACTGTTTCACAAAACAACAAGAACAACCAGGAAAAATGAAGCTGAATCACTGATCAGTTTAAATATCTTTATTATGAATGTCTCCCTCGTCGGGGGCTGAAGATTAAAACAGAAACAAACTGTATAAAAATAAATTAAAACATAAAATACGACAGGAACAGAAAACATGTGAGAGGTCAAACGTCACAGGAGCTGGACTCGCTCTCTCTGTCAGGACAGTGTGATTCATAATAACTTATTAAATAGTTTAAACACTGTGCCGCTGCAGCAGCATGTGAGAAGACAGACAGGAAACAATCCTATTCACAGCATCAGTGAGTGAGGAATGTGTTCATCTTCTATTCCTACCAGTTCATGAGCTTCACCTGGGACAGATTTAACAGGAGAATCATCTCGAACATCTCGATAACCAACAGTCGATTTAAAAAAGTGAAAAATATCAGAAGTCTCTAATAAAAAGAGACGCTCAGTAAAACAACCACGAGATATTCTTCAGAATCATTACATTTCTCTTCTAGATTTTCTGATGTTGTTCTACAGACGAGTTCCTGCTCTACATCTGCTTCACCCTCTGCTGCAGGAGGTCCAGCTGTCGCGCCATCTCGTTGGGCAGGTCGTCGTTCACCTGCGTGGTGAAGTACTTCCTCACCTCCTCCACCTCCCTCTGCCAGAACTCCTGGTCCAGGGAGAACAGCTGGTCCAGGTCCACGTGTTCCTGCAGACCCTGGAGGTTCAGGGAGTTGCCGCACGGCAGGTATCCCACGGCGGAGGGCATGGCGCCGGCCTCGCCGTTCACCCGCCTGAACATCCAGTCCAGAACGCGGATGTTGTCACCGAAGCCGGGCCACAGGAAGCCGGCGGTCGGGCTCTTGCGGAACCAGTTGACGTGGAAGATCTTGGGGAGTTTGGCGCCGGGGCGGTCGGCCATGCTCAGCCAGTGAGAGAGATACTGTCCGAAGTTGTAGCCGAAGAACGGACGCATGGCGAACGGGTCGTGCATGATCACCTTACCTGGAGAAAAGAAGAGCAGACAGAGGACAGGTGAGGATCGGGGGCCAGTTCAGCAGAACACCTTAAGTTAAGATTTGTCTTAAAGTCTGAGTTAAAGCTTCCTTAGAATAAAAACACCCTTAAGTCTTCCACGTAAAGTTTCCTTAAAATGTTCATGAAGTATTGAAGGTGTTCTCCTGATCTTGGTCTTATACTGAAGGAATCACTTAAAGTCACTTAAACCGTTGAAAGAAAACTACTAAAGGCTCCTCTGATTGGATCTTATCTGCAACACATTCAGAAGAACCGCATGGAGCCTCAACCAGAGAAATTGATTTGTTGATTTGTGTCTATAGATTTGATCGGCATCAGTTTCTGGTTTGATCAGCTCACTCCTCTTTCCTCAGCTGTGTCTTCAGCTGCTCTGCAGCAACAACCTGAAGTAACTCCCTCAGCTAAGGAGAAATTCAACCAAGTGTCAGACTTTAGTAAAACTGTAGGTGCCCCTGGGACATTAATTCCTAGGGGCAGGTTTCTGAGCTGATTCAATGGTGGAAAAACAAATGGACAGTAACTGGTCAACTGAAGGTCACTGACCTTTGTGTTCAGCTGCAGCCGTGGCCTCCGATCTCATGGCCGCTCCGACAAACACTCCGTGCTGCCAGCTGAAGGCCTCGTACACCAGAGGGACACCTGACAGGAAACACAGTCATAAATCAGATTTATATCTTCTCCTCTCTCTTATCTGAATCCACTGTAACTCGTCCTCTACCACTGCTCTGGTTTCTCTGTTTTCCCTCTCACCTTCTGGTCTGCGGCCTCCGAAGATGACGGCCTCGATGGGGACTCCCTCTGGGGATTCCCACAGCGGGTCGATGATGGGGCACTGACCGGCCGGAGTGCAGAAACGAGAGTTGGGATGAGCACAGGGTTCACCTGGAGAGAGAGACCAAGGCAGGGAGGTAAGTTAGTGACGTTCTCCATGACGCACAGACCTCCGACTATCTCATGAATTAAAACTGCTCTCTAAAATAAACTGAAGAATCGGTTTAATTCAGTAAGAAGATTTTTGAGTTTTTGTTTCAGAAAGTAGAAACTATTGACTCAAACCAACGTCTTCAACCTCGACTTGGTTCCTTTTCTGTTTCTTAACTAATGAAAAAATCTCGCACCATCCTCCGAGCTCCAGGGTTTGTTCTTCCAGGACGTGATGGTGACTTCCTCCGGCAGCGACTGATCCATTCCCTCCCAGTACACACCGCCGTCGCTGGTCTCCGCCACGTTGGTGAAGAGGGTGTTCTTGACGATGGTTGCCATGGCGTTGGGGTTGGTTTTGGCCGAGGTGCCGGGTGCAACGCCAAAGAAGCCATTCTCTGGGTTGATGGCGCGGAGGTTTCCTGACAAAGACGAAGAAGAGTCCTGTCAGTTTGTGTCATTGTTAATAAAGTTTTAATGTCTCTGATGTCAAGTTCAACTTCCGTCTCTCACCTTGGTCGTCAAACTTCATCCAGGCGATGTCGTCGCCCACGCACTCGACCTTCCAGCCCGGCAGCGTGGGGCAGAGCATGGCCAGGTTTGTTTTCCCGCAGGCGCTGGGGAACGCCGCCGCCATGTACTTCTTCTCCCCCGCAGGGTTGGTGACGCCCAGGATCTGAACACAGGAAACACGTGGTCAGGGTTAGGGTTAGGTTAGTGTTACCTACTCTGACTTTTGGATGGACGGGTGGTTTTCCTCACCAGCATGTGCTCGGCCAGCCAGCCCTCCTCCTTGGCGATGCGTGAGGCGATGCGCAGGGCGAAGCACTTCTTTCCCAGGAGGGAGTTTCCTCCGTAACCGCTGCCGAACGAGACGATCTGCCGGTGGTCCGGGATGTGGGCGATCAACGTCTGCTCGGGGTTACAGGGCCAGTTGTTCACCAGCGGCTCTGAGGGTGGAAACAGGAAATGGGTTCAATTGTATTTTGACAGACAAAATGTATTCATCAGCTAATGCTAAAAGTAGCATCAGGTCGCCGGCGTTGCGGACGTACTTTTGAGTGGCAGAGGACAGCCGACCGAGTGCAGACAACGGACGAACTCGCCGTTTCCCAGAGCGGACAGCACGGCCTTCCCCATCCGGGTCATCACCCTCATACTGGCGACCACGTAGGGCGAGTCGGTCAGCTCCACTCCGATCTTGGAGAGGGGGGAACCCACGGGACCCATGCTGAAGGGAATCACATACATGGTCCGACCTGAGGACAGAGACGATCACGTGAAGTCAACCATGACTCTGAAAACTGATTCTCTTTTAATGTGAAAGTCCAAATTTACATCATCAGAGTTTTACAGGAACTCGGTCCGAACTGGATCAGACCTGGACCCGGTCTCTGTGGTACCTTTCATGCAGCCCGGGAACCGCTGAGTCATGGCTTTGTCCAACTCCTCCGGGGACATCCAGCGGCCCAGCTGACTGACTCCTCCTCCCAGCGGCGTGGGCACCGTGTCCCTCTGTTCCTGGGTCACAATCACCGTCTTACTCTCCACACGAGCCACGTCCCTCGGGTCGGTCCTCGCCAACCAGCTGCAGGAGGAGGAGGGGGAAGTGTAGATGTTTTAGTTTAACACGTGGTCATTTCACAATTTAAATGTAATCATCTGTACGTTAATATAATACAACATCAAAATGATTTTTCTGGTGGGAGAAAATCTAAATAAAAGCTTTGGAGCTAATTTGATGTCGTGTCTGGAAAATCTCTTCATCCTCGATCAATCAGTTTGAAATTAATTGGCAATGATCAAAGTTTTCTATAAACTCTTACATTTATGTTGCAGTAACATTTGAATGTAAAGTTAATCTTATACATAAATAAGTTTGCATAGATCAAAATGACTGTGAATGTTTTCTGTTGATCACACACACACACACACACACACACACACACACACACACACACACACGTTATAACAGTGTCGTCTTCAGACTTTAATGACAGTGAAGTTTTTCAACTTTTTTAATGTTTTTTAAAGAGAATTTATTTTCAAAAGATCCCAAAAGATCATTTATATTTAAATTCTTTTATAATTACATCTTTTACATCAACCACTGATCTGTTTGTTGATTCTGCAGCGGTTGAGCACATGTTTGTGACAGCTGCAGGTGAACAGGTGAACAGGTGAGCTCTGCCTGAACCGGCTGGTCTGACTGGTTTGTGAGCATGTCGACCTTTAACTGTCTGATGTAACAGTCTTGAACAACAACAGTCTGCACAGTGACCACCTCAGACCTGGTTCTGAGCTGACCTAGGATCAGACTATCACCTGGAAACAGTCGCTCTTATCAAACCTCTGACCCTCCGACACTGAAGCCACATCCACCCACCAGTTCTCATATTTGCGCAGCCTCCTGATCATCCCCTGCTCCTCCAGCTGGGTCAGGATGGCTCGGTTCTCCTCGTCGGAGCCGTCGCAGACGTGCAGGGCGTCGGGCTGACATAGGGTCACGTTGGTGTCCACGAACTCCCTGACGGCCGGGCTGAGGGCGCTGAGGTCGCCCTGCAGGATCTTGGGTCCGCTCTGGTTCTGGGACTGGAGCTGAGGAGGCATGGCGGAGGCGTCTGGAGGGAGAGCGAGCTGAGAGAGAGAGAAGAAGAAGAAGAAGAAGAAGAGAGGAGGTCTAGAAGCAGAGAGGAAGAGGAAGGAAAAGAAAAGATTTTAAATACCTTCTTTTTGAGCTGTTACATTTCATCGTTTCATGAGGCAGCGTGAGGTTACCTTCAGGAGTTGGTCTGGAGCACAGAGCTGCAGCTTGGCCTCATCAGCTGATCAGGGTCTGTCAGCTGTTCTCAGGACAGTTCACCACTGTTCTCTCTCTGGTCTGTTGTATCAGCTGCACAGGGTTCGCTCCTTTTATACCCTGGGATATCCCACAAGAGGCGGGGAGGGGGGAGGAGGGGGGAGGGGTTATTTACATGAACCTGTTCTTCCCTGTAGATCTGAAAAACACAGAGTTACAGACCAGAGGTGAATCATTGAGAGAGAGAGAGAGAGAGAGGGAGAGACAGAGAGAGAGAGACAGAGAGAGAGAGAGACAGAGAGAGAGACAGAGAG